TGGCAGAACCGTAGCTAAAGGCTAAAGTTGGCAGAACTGTAGCTAAAAGATTAAATTATCCAAATATTAGCTGAAAAATAAAATTAGCTGAAAGACCCACTGTATAACACGGAGTCGTAATAAGTGTCTGTTTTTATTATTTTACCATGATAATCCATGAGATTCACCAGGTTCAATGAAAAAGAATAATCTGTCCAGACGACGCGACTCTGTTAGATTTATTTTCCTGGATTATTGAGCAGCTTCAGGACTGAAATGAAAAAGGTTAAAAATAAATTAGAGGAATGTTTTTAAAGAAAGTGAGGAGATCTGTGTCTTTCTTTAAAAAGTACGACAGTTATAAATGGTAAAACTCACAGCACATTACTCCTGGTTGAGTCTGACATTTTAATTGATGGAGGGTTTAAAATAAAAGTACGTAGACGTAGTTTAATTTAAATAAAACGCACGTAAGAAACTCCAAACAGGAAAAACGAACTCGGCCTTCATCCATTCATGAAATGAGCTGAAGTTTAAATGCTGCTTCGTTCTGGTGGTTCCTCTCTGGCCTCAGAGCACAAGGAGCAGCTGTGGATGGATCTGAAGGCAGGTGCAGAATCTGGTTGGGACTTCACTTCCCGCTGGTACATAAACGGCAGCGGCACCCTCCGGGAGACCCGAACCAGCCAGATCCTGCCCTCTGACCTCAACGCTCTGCTGTGCCGCAACGAGAGAACTCTGGCTTCATTCCACCGACTGCTGGGTGAGGGCACCGGCAACCTTCCACCTTGGAGACGACTCGCTTTTAGCTCCCGGCTGCTGTTGCATAACGATGATGTGCCGCTTCCTGACAGGTGACGGTGACTCGGCCGCTCGGTACCAGCAGGCTGCGGCCCGCAGAACGGCGGCGATGGAGGCGCTGCTGTGGGACGCTGAGAAGGGAGCGTGGTTCGACTACAACCTGCTGACTCACTCCAAACAGCCGGAGTTCTACCCCTCCAACCTGGCACCTGTTTGGGCTCAGTGCTATTCTGAGCCGGGGATGGCGGACGAGGCGGTGCGGTACCTGAAGGTTGGTGCATGCTGGGAGTTCAGCTCACCCCAACACAACAAAACAACAGAACCACCAAAGCACATCTGATCGGCTTTAGAAGAAATGTGTTGCAGAAGAGTTTTATTCTTGTTGCTGTAAATCCAACACCAAATAATCATTTGTTGAATAAAAATACAAATCAATAAATACACAATTTATTTCTTTAAGAGATGTGTATTTTTGATGTTTCAAATATACTTACTGGATAAATATCCAATAGGTACCTGGTACTTACTGGATAAATATCTAGTACACAGTGCTTTGCGAAAGTATTCGGCCCCCTTGAACTTTTCAACCTTTTGCCACATTTCAGGCTTCAAACATAAAGATATACAATTTAAATTTTTGTGAAGAATCAACAACAAGTGGGACACAATCGTGAAGTGGAATGAAATTTTTTGGATGCGTCAAACTTTTTTAACAAATAAAAAACTGAAAAGTGGGGCGTGCAATATTATTCAGCCTCTTTACTTTCAGTGCAGCAAACTCACTCCAGAAGTTCAGTGAGGATCTATGAATGATCCAATGTTGTCCCAAATGACTGATCATGATAAATAGAATCCACCTGTGTGTAATCAAGTCTCCGTATAAATGCACCTGCTCTGTGATAGTCTCAGGGTTCTGTTCAAAGCGCAGAGAGCATCATGAAGACCAAGGAACACACCAGGCAGGTCTGAGATTCTGTTGTGGAGAAGTTTAAAGCCAGATTTGGATACAAAAAGATTTCCCAAGCTTTAAACATCCCAAGGAGCACTGTGCAAGCAATCATACTGAAATGGAAGGAGTATCAGACCACTGCAAATCTACCAAGACCCGGCCGTCCCTCTAAACTTTCAACTTTAAACTGCACAAATCTGGCCTTTATGGAAGAGTGGCAAGAAGAAAGCCATTTCTCAAAGATACCCATAAAAAGTGTTGTTTAAAGTTTTGCCACAAGCACCTGAGAGACACCAAACATGTGGAAGAAGGTGCTCTCGTCACATGAAACCAAAATCGAACTGTTTGGCCACAATGCAAAATGATATGTTTGGTGTAAATCAACACAGCTCATCACCCTGAACACACCATCCCCACTGTCAAACGTGGTGGTGGCAGCATCATGGTTTGGGCCTGATTTTTGTCAGCAGGGACAGGGAAGATGGTCAGAATTGATGAGAAGATGGACGGGGCCAAATACAGGACCATTCTTGAAGAAAACCTGTTTGAGTCTGCAAGAGACCTGAGACTGGGACGGAGATTTATCTTCCAACAAGACAATGATCCAAAACATAAAGACACATCTACAATGGAATGGTTCACAAATAAACGTATCCAGGTGTTGGAATGGCCAAGTCAAAGTCCAGACCTGAATCCACTCGAGAATCTGTGGAAAGAACTGAAGACTGCTGTTCACAAACGCTCTCCATCCAACCGCACTGAGCTCGAGCTGTTTTGCAAAGAAGTATGGGCAGAATTTCAGTCTCTCCATGTGTAAAACTGACAGAGACAAACCCCAAGAGACTGTAGCTGGAACTGCAGCAACAGGCGGAGCTACAAAGTATTAACGCAAGGGGGCCCAATAATATTGCACGCCCCACTTTTCAGTTTTTTATTTGTTAAAGTTTGACACATCCAATAAATTTCATTCCACTTCACGACTGTGTCCCACTTGTTGTTGAATCTTCACAAAAAATTAAAAATTTATATCTTTATGTTTGAAGCCTGAAATGTGGCAAAAGGTTGAAAAGTTCAAGGGGGCCGAATACTTTCACAAGGCACTGTATACCTGGTACTTACTATGTAAATATCCAATATGTACCTGCTACTTACTGGGTAAATATCCAATA